GCAACATTTATAATATATCATTTCTTTTCTATTATGTTTTGATAAAATATCTTATTTTCTATGATTGAAAGAATGGTCACTAACCAATAAATCTTTATTGTAAGTTATGACCATTTTATTATTATTAATACATTTAGAATGATTATTAAAATCAATTGCATCAAATCATTAAAATATGTAATTAATAAGTGTTTACATATTTGTTTACAAACATAATTATATTTTGAAATTTAATTCTTCTTTGTGTTTTATTATGATAATACAATTTATTTCTATTGAATTATTAATAAAACACATATGACAATGAAAATGAATGAAGTGATTATTATGATGATAATTATTAATATGGTAATGATTAGTGTATATATGACCATACAGATAATAGCTATTTGCACTTATTCCTTTATTATTAATAATTGTTTGTTGATTGATATGAATTTTTATTTCTTTTGTTATTTGTTTTTTTTATCTGTATTTTATGATGTTTCTTGTTGTTTATGTGAAAATTTTTTCTTTATGTAAATTAATAAAGTTTTAAAAAGAAATTTGTTTATTGTTGTTTTACTTTGAGTAATATAAAGCCTTTATTACTTTTGAATTTTCAATTATTTCGAGTTCACTATAATTTTGATGTTGTGGCATTGCTACACATTGTTTTTCTAAAGATATATTTGGAGGATTTATTACTTTGGCTTTAGTTAATAATTTACCATCACCCCCAATAGAAAATGTAACTTCAACTTCAACAAAACCTGCAATCATTGTTGGTAATGGTGATATTGCAAGACTTGTTAAGAAACTTTTGTCTTCATAAAGTTTTAATGATAACTCTTTTTGATAGTCAACTGTTGTAACAAATACTCTTTTTGTTTCATATGGGATTGGAGTTCCAGCTTTAATAATTGGTTCAATAATTTTTTTTTTCCTACTAACATCCATTAATTCAATTCCAATAGTTTTAGATGCAATTTCTCCTTCTAATATATTTGAAATATCTTCCCCAATTGATTGTGCACAAAGTGCACACCCCTTACATACCAATAAATCAAAATCAACATTTGTTTGATCTACTTTGTCGTTCCCAAAGAAATCAACTAGCATTGCCTTAATTGCTGGGCATTTACATGAACCTCCTACCATTAGTACGTGGTCAATTGCATTTTTATTATATCTACTTCTTTGAAGAGCTTTTATCATTAATTCTTTACATCTATTAAAGATTTCTTGATTTAATTCTAAGAATTTACTATATGTTAGTTCAAATGGTTCTTCTAAAGCTTCAATACCTATTTCTATTAAACATTCAGCTTGAGCTACTTCTCTTTTATTAACATAGCTATTTGACAATTTAATTTTCAATTCTTCTGCATAATTCTTTATTTTACTTTTTTTATTTTCAATTGCAGTAATTACTTCTTCTTCATCAACCCCTAAGTCATCTGCTCTCTTTTTTATTTCTTCAATTAAATACTTTTGAATGTTAAAGTCAATATCATTTCCTCCAAGAAATGGATCTCCTATTGTTGTTTTTATTTGCATTACTCCTTCTACAAATTTAATAACAGAAATATCTAATGTTCCTCCTCCAAAGTCAAAAACATATAATACACCATCTTTTTTTTCATACGCCATTGCAGCAGCTGTAGGTTCATTTACCATTCTTATTGGTTCAATCCCTGCCATTTTTATGGCTTGTTCAGTTGCTTTTCTTTCATCATCTCCAAATGCTGCTGGAACTCCTACAACTGCTTTGACTGTAACATTAGGATGTACTTTTAATATAAGGTCTTTTATTTTTAATAAAATTAAAGCTGAGACTTGTTCAGGAAGAAGACGAATTAATTGTCTTTTTACCCCTTTCTTTGCAGGTCTTTCAATTTCAACTCCCATTTTATCATCTCTTAATGGAATAATATTATTTAGTAAATGTTTTCGAAGTTGTGCTACATCAATGTCCTGACTACTCATACGTTTACCTATAAGTCTTTTTACTTCAAAAATTGTGTTCTTTCCTGCTTTATCATTAATACCAACTAAACATTGTGAATTTGTAAATGCAACACATGAACGGATTGAGTCTCTTTCAAATTCAGACTTATAAATAAAAGGACGACCATTTATTATTTCACAAGCAGAACTAAATGTGGTACCTAAATCAATACCAACATAAACTACATCTTTTTCTATGCTCATTTGATTGAATATTCTAAGTTATGACCTTTGGGTTTAAATGATGTTTATTTTTTTTAATAAAAAACATTTATTTTTAATAGTTATGAAAATAACAAAAGTTTTTACCTATAATTTAATACAAAAATAGTTAATTAAACATTAATAGAGCCGTCATTTATTCATTGATTAATAGATATTAATCATATCACATGTCATTAAAAAAAGAATGATTTCTTTGTTTTATTTTTTATTTAGACTTTCTTCTTGTTTTATGAATAAATCATTTTACTCTGATTTATTTCTTTTCTATTATTGTCTTTTCAAACTTCCTTCCTTTTTCTTATTTCTTTTAGTTTTAATGAACTTCCTTCTTTCTTTGTTTTCGTATATTGTGTTGAATGAATCTTTCAC